CTGTGGATTTTGACTTGTACTTTTGAGGAGGGAACTGTGTGAGGCAGAGATGAAGGGGCCACAGGAACCGCTCTGTGGGTGAGTGGGCCTGTGATCATTCACATCTATTCGGCATCTTGCATGAATGTTTATGGGAAAATCGTGTGTTTTCTGCAGCCAGCCATGGGGACCTTGCCAAAGAATGTGCAATAAGGTGTCCTCTGTAGGGGTATGTCCTAGCCATCCCTGGTGCTACCAAGAGTGCCCTGACTCCTGTAGGCTTTGCCAGTGGAGACCACAGAGCTGATATCAGGGTGGTTAGGGTGTGGCCCCAAACACACCTGCATGCAGTAGAGACGTCTTCCTTGTCGTACATGAGGACTGTCATACTGAGGGCCCCACTGTGCACGTCAGGGCTACAGTCCTGGCCCTGTACCGGCCATATGGCTCCTATGAAGACTCTGTGACATCTAGGAGAAACTGCTTCAGTGGAAAAGGACCACCGTTTATGCTTACCCTCCTGGGCTGTCTGATTCTAGACCTGCTCATTGTACTCAGATCATTTCACAACTCTTTCTAGGTCATGTGTAACTGATAGACTGATAGATTTTGTAAAATCTGTCTTGACTTGTAGAGAGTTGATTGGCTTCCTCCTCTGGAAGACTGTTTTGTCTCTATTTGCATATAAATTTGTGATCTTGATTTTTCTTTTTCTTTTTACATTAGAGATTGAACCCAGTAGTGCTCAACCACTGAGCCACATCCCCAGTCCTCTTTTTTTTTTTTTTGTATTTTATTTAGAGACAGAGTTTCTCTGAGTTGCTGAGGGCCTCATTAAGTAGCTGAGGCTGGCTTTGAACTCATGATCCTTCTGCCTCAGCCTCCCAAGCTACTGGGATTACAGGTATCCTCTACCGCACCCAGCTTGACCATCTGTATGAGAGTGACGGTTTAACATTTTTTCTGGAAATTATCTTTTCAGAAATTAATCATGGGGGGAGGCAAAAATCCTGGAAGGCATATACAGAAAAATGTACTTATCATACAATTAGTGGAGAGTCAAGGGCATGTTCCCTGGGACTTGCTGGGACTCCAGGCAGGCCAGTCCACAGCAGCTCTGCTACAGGACTTGGCCCCAACACATGGGCTCGGGCTAGCAGCTGTGAAAGGTCTGGGCCAGAGTCCAGCCTGCCACAGTTGGCACACCTAGCCCTCTCCCGGCTGCTGCCCCTTCTGAGAAATAGTCAACTTGAAGTACCCATCTAGAAGGCCACTCTTTGGCTATAAAAATTTCTTCTGGAACATGAACAGCAACTGAAGATCAGCAAAAGGTTCATATCAGAGGCTGCTTTGGAACATCCGGTGTTTCCCGCCGTCCCAGGTCCTCACAGGATAGCTCAGGTGAGAACTTAGCCCATGTGCACTGGGCTGCTGCTCAACTGTTGAGACATCTCTTCCTAATAATAGTTCCATAGGAGATTGTGGAAAATCAAAACCGAGAAAACAAGAGGCAATTTTTCCTTGGTTGAATAACTGCTTATTAATTTATTTTCTTGTAAAATCTAGTTACCACAGCCGGAGGTGCACACCTCGAATCCCGGCAGCTTGAGAGGCTGAGGTAGGAGGATCGCAAGTTCAAAGGCAGCCTCAGCAACTCAGCCAGGCCCAGAATGACTTTGTGAAATGTCATCTCAAAGTAAAAAAATAAAATGGACTGGGAATGTGGCTCAGTGGTTAAGTGCCCCTTTAATTCCTGGTACCAAAAAAAAAAAAAAAAAAAAAGTATCCCATTTGTAATTATGAAACATTGAGAATGTTCAGGAAAATGAATGCAGGGAATAATAAAACAGCCACCCATTTTCATTTCACCCAGATTTAAAAGATACGGTCTTGTCTTGTGGACTTCAAGTCAAAGCTTTTTAAGGAGATACAATGTAGCAAGTATAATTTCTGCCTAGCAACCTGTGCATGACATTTTTATTACAGTATATTTATTAATAATGTATACATTGTTTTGTCATTAACATTTACTTAGCATCAAAATACCTTCTTACATAGCCTTGTTTTTGAGACACCATATTGGTAAATATAAATGCAGTTCGTTCATTCTGACTTGTGATTTATTTCCTGGGCAGCTGTTACAAATTTCCTCAAAACAGAGGATAGAAGTGCATTCTCTCAGTTCTGGAGGCTGGAAGTCCATGCCAGCAGGGCCATGCTGTCTCTGACACCCATAGGGAGAGCACTCCCTTGCCTCTGTCAGTTTCACCGCAGCAGTCCTTGGTATTTCTTGAGTGGTAGACACCTCTCTCCACTCTATCGCCGTCTTAAAGTGGCCTTCTCTCCAGTGTGATTCTGTGTCCGGATTACCCCTTTCTTTTGCCTTTGATTTTGGTATTGGGGACTGAGCCCAGGGTGCTTAACCACTGAACCACATCCCCAGCCCTTTTTTCATTTTTTATTTTGAGGCCGTGTCTCATTAAGTTGCTTAGGACCTTGCTAAGTTGCTGAGGCTGGCCTCCATCCTCCTGTCTTAGCCTCCCACATGGCTGGGATTAAAAGCATGTACCACCATGCCTTGCTAAAAATACCTCGTGTATTTTATCTCTATTCTAAGTCTCCTTTTTTAAAAAAAATATTTTTAGTTGTTGATGGGCCTTTATTTTTACTATTGATGTGCAGTGCTGAGAATTGAATTCAGTGCCTCACACAGACTAGACAAGTGCCCTACCACTGAGCTACAACCCCAGCCCTAAGTCTCCTGTTTTTTAAAAGTAATATTTTATCCTAGTCTATGTTGTTTTCCAATTTGTTTAGGAAGTCTTTTATCTTGTTGTAACTGTTATTGTCTTATTCACCTCATTGTCTTAGTTATCAAGATGAAAATTTACAAGGTTTTTTTTTTTTGTGTGGTGGAAGATCCCAAGTTTGGGGGGGATGCTCCTGGCCTCACTGTCAGCACTCGGCGTCACCACCCCGCCCCCACCCCACTGGAGGCAGATCTGAGAGAGCTGCCCGTTCTGTATCTACAACAGACAAGGAGTAGCTCCCACCAGCCTCCTCCCTGCCACGGCTGGCGATAGTTCCCAGGGTCCTTCTGTAGTCATCAGTATTCAATTTTCTACAATATCTTACTTAAAAGAAATAATCCTTTCCTTTATGGCATATGTTATCTTGGGCTCCTTTAAGAAATTGGGCCTCACTTCACGGTTGAACAAAGAGGAGTTCTCCTACCTCTCTTCCCAACAGTTCAGTTCTTCCCTGCTTAGGTTTCTGACCTCCAACAGGTTTGCTGGCTGCGGTTGGCTGGGATCCTTTGTGATTTGTTTTCCCAGCTGTGTGCTGTGGCCTTGGCCAGTCCACCCTCCCACTGTGGATCCACAGTGCCCTCTGGCTTCCTGGAAGGACTCTCAGAACCCCCAGAGTCTGGCCCCACGGCGGCCCTGGCTGGGGAACGTGCTCTCTCTGGGCCTTGGATCCCTGCCTCTCCCTTCTCCAGGTCCAGTCCCACTCTCACCCTGAGCGGCTGACTCTGCTTCTTAGTTCTAAGAGCAAACATTTTCTTAAAGTGGGAACATTCCTGTATATAACCACGGTCACCGTACCTTAATCCCACCTTATAAAACTGATACCAAGATGGGCACCGTGGCTCAGGAGGCCAAAGCAGGAGGATTGAGAGCTCAAGGCCAGCCTCAGCAATTTAGCAAGGCCCTGAGCAACTCAGTGAGACCCTGTCTCTAAGTAAAATACAAACAAGGGCTGGGGATGTGGCTCAGTGGTTAAGTGCCCCGGGGTTCAATCCCTGGTACAAAAAAAAACAAATAAAAATAAAATGGGTACTAATGCATCGTATAAAGTGATGAGAGCTGTCATCCATGTTCACTTTCCTGCTTGTCTTTGTGTGTCTCTTATAGCTGTTCTTAATTCTGAACCACGACCTAGGTGAATTTGTTTTTCTTTTGTGTCTCTTAATCTAGAACTGTCTCACTGCCTTTTTTTCCTTTTTACATTTTGAGTTTTGGTGTTAGGCATATAAAACAGGTGAGAAATATTCCCATATTTGCTATGCTACCAATTAGTCAATTTTGTGTTTTCAAATTTATTAGCCTAAAGTTGTTCATAGTAATTTTTTTTTCTGAGACAAATCCTTTTTATTTTACTTTTTTTAGTAGTTGATAGAACTTTATTTATTTGTGTGTGGTGCTGACAATCAAACCCAGGGCCGCACACTGGCTAGGCCAGCACTCTACCACTGAGCTACAACCCCAGCCCCCACAGGAGAAAAATCTTATGTATCCATTTACTTTACGTAAATAAATGGAACCCAGGGCCATGCCTTGCTGGGCCTGTGCTCTGCCCCTGAGCTGGGTGTCCCAGCTAAACGGAGCATCTTCAGACACCTTTCCTTTGGGACCTGGTTTCTGGTTGCCATGAGTTTTTCATTGTTTCCTTTGGGTTAACTCGTGGCCTGGAGCTGTGCCTAGTTCGTGACTCTTCAAGGAAGCCAATTTCAGTCTTTTTGGGTTTTCCCCAACGCATGTCTTCATGTCCTTGTTTTCTCTGTGTCGGGCTGCTGTGGTCTGCATGCTGGTGTCCCCCCGGTTCATGTGTGGCCCCCTCGTCCTCGGGTGATGATGATGTTGGGAGGTGAGGCCTCTGGGAGGTGCAGAGGTCGTGAGGGTGGAGAGCTCATGACGGGGATTAGCGCCCTCCTAAAAGAGGTCCCAGGGAGCCGCCTCCTCCCTCCTCGGTGTGAGGACACAGGAGAAGGCACCCACTGTGAGACAGAAAGTGCCCCCCAGACTCTGAGCCGCCTTCACCTTGTTCTTGGCTTCTCAGCCTCCAGAACTGGGAGAGCCGCGCCTCAGTTTATGAGTCACGTAGTTGTATTTTGTTACAAGATGAATCCACGAAGACAGGGTTTATTCAATTATTCTCCTTAACTCATTTTTTTTGGGTCGGGAGGGGATTGGGGATTGAACCGAGGGGCACTTAACCACTGAGCCATATCCCTAGCCTTTTTATTTTTTTGAGACAGGCTCTTGCTATGTTGTTTAGGGCCTTGCTAAGTTGCTGAGACTGGCTTTGAACTCATGATCCTCCTGCCTCAGGCTCCCTAGCCACTGGGATTACAGGCAGGCACCACTTCTTAACTTCTGGATGCTTAGTTTATTTTCATTTTTTTCCCTCTTGTCTAATATATGCAATCTACATTGTAAAGACTTCTCTAAGTATTAATTCTTATCATTTTTTGCTCTGTAGTATTTTCTTTGTAATTCAGTTCTAGGCCTTTTGACTTCCTATTATGATTTCCTTATACATGTAGAACATTTTTTTTTTATGTAAAATCATTGTTGAAACTTGCATTTTGGCCAGGCCCCATGGTAGACCCTATCATCCCAGTGGCTCGGGAGGCTGAGGCAGGAGGATTATGAGTTCAAAGCCAGCCTCAGCAACTTAGTGAGGTCCTAAGCAACTCAGTGAGACCCTGTCTGTAAATAAAATACAAAAAAGGTCTGGGGATGTGGTTCGGTGGTTAGTATGCAGGTAGTTTGCTAAGTGTTCACATCTGCTTGGAGAGGCTTTGCTGGCTAATTGTTAGTGACGGGCCTACCTATATCTTTGGGTTAAGTGTTCCTAGCTCCCTCTTTCTGATGGAAAATCCAGCATGAGAATCTGTCTTGATGAGTGAGCTAACATGTTTACATTTATTTGGAGTCTTTCAGCTCCATAATTCCAAACTGTGGTGGTGAGCGAGTTTTCTGTTTTGTTCTTTAAGCTTTGTGGGTCTGCTCTCCTCTCAAACCCCCTCTCACTGGGCTGTTCTCTCTGGTCTTGTTTCTTTGGATGGCTTCTGTGGGTAGTATTTACGGAGCTCCCCCCTGGACAGGGCAATGCTCTTCGGCCTGGTCCGTGGCAGTCTTACGGTGAAGTGGGTCTGGTGTGCTTCTGCCAGGTTCTCCAGCGGCTTCCTGGCCCAGGGCCACTGTCACCTTGGTTTCTCAGGCTGCTAAGTACGCCTGCTTTGCAAGTCCCGTCTAGTGTGGGGGTGCTTGTCCCCTTCCACTCGGAGCTGAAGGTGAGCTGAGCTTCTAGTCTGCCTTTCTGATCCTGGTTGATAGAGCTTTTCTTGTTTTGTTTTGAGACACCCCTCACCCCGCCCCCTGCCCTGTGAACTTCCAGGGCTTGACCTTGCAGAGGTGAGTCCTGGCTACAGATTCCCATCTGGGGTGGTCCTGGGCCTCACTGGACACCAGTCCTAAGCCCCTGATTGTCTGGCTCTGTGCCTGCCATCACTGTGCTGCTTTACCATCTGCTGTGTGACTTTCAGTTTCCTCTCCAGCCCTGGCCCTTGGGGACCCCTTTTCCCGTGAGCTCTGCCATTTTTATCGTTATTAGTGTTTATATTCAATCTGGCATTTCCACTGTCTGCGATGGGGATGGCTCCTCCTGGGCCCTCATCTTCTATGTTGCCAGAGCCAGAATTACCATCAATTTCTTCCTTTTTTTTCAACCACTGAGCCACATCCCCAGCCCTTGTTTTTGTATTTTATTTAGAGACAGAGTCTCACTGAATTGCTGAGCACCTCGCTGTTGTTGAGGCTGGCTTTGAACCCGTGATCCTCCTGTCTTAGCCTCCTGAGCTACTGGGAATTCAGGGGTGTGCCGCGACACCCAGCAGCATCAATTTCTTTTACAGTAAATAGCACAGATGGATTTAAAATAATGTTTTCCAGTAATTTTTTTTTTTTGGTACCAGGTATTGAACCCAGGCGCCCTTTACCACTGAGTCACATCCCTAGCCCTTTTTATTATTTTATTTAGAGACAGAATCTCGCTAAATTGCTTTAGAGCCTTACTAAGCTGTTGAGGCTGGTATTGAATTCGCCATCCTCCTGCCTCAGCCTCCCCATCCTCTGGGATTACGGGGTGCGCCACCATGCCTGGTGGTTCCCAATACTCTTGATTATCGTTTACTATTTGTGATCTTTAGATCTGAACCATCCAGCCTCCACTGTGTGTTTTCTCTGTAGCTGACTTTGAGGTCTCCGATGGCTAACGAAGCTCGTCCCTGCCCCTGTGACATTGGGCACAGACTGGAGTATGGAGGCATGGGGCAGGAAGTCCAAGTCGAACACATCAAGGCTTATGTCACCAGATCCCCAGTCGATGCCGGCAAAGCCGTGATTGTCATTCAAGACATATTCGGGTGGCAGCTGCCCAACACCAGGTACATGGCTGACCTGATTGCAGGAAACGGATACACGTGAGTACAAAATCCTGTTCCTTGGCTTAATTCATGTAAATTTCTGTGGTCCGTTTTGTTCTTCAGAAAGAGAAACAAAAGCGAAATCCTTCTCCTCACTCTCTCTGCTTCCTCCCCTCCCTGTGGTGGAGGGGAGGGGAGCTGCCAAGGGGTCCTGAACGGCTGCCTCGTGGAAGACACCCCAGTCCCTGGGCTTCGGTCCTCCTGGGGGTTCCTGGCCCTATAGACTCTGGGACAGGGTCCTCTCACCACACCCAGGACAGGACACCTTTGCACACATCCCCAGCTCTGAAATGGACCTATTTTTTGGCCCCTGAAGCATGTCAGCCTTGGGTCAGATTTCATGTGGACAGGAGGTACCCCTGGCTCATCCTTATCCCAGCGTGTCCCCTCCTGGCTGTATCCGAATTAGACTGGGTTCCAGAAAGAGCACAGCGAGACTGGGCTCCTCACTCTGCGTTTACGCCATGGCCACCCTTGGTAGAAGCTTCAGGAAAGTATGCAGATGAGTAGAACCACCCTTCTCCTCCCGCTTCAGAGAGCGGACAGCCCAGTGGCCCTGAGCTAGGGACACCATGAGATGGCTTTGTCTTCTCTAAAGGAGAGGCTGCCTGCCGAGCTGACGGGAACCTACCTCGTTTTCCTCAGTAGAGAAACTCAGTAGAGAAACTGCTGTGGCATGAAAAGACGTCACTGTTCATGTCCCCAGACTCCCTGGAGGATGAAGCAACCTCGATTTTTAGGGCAAGACCGACGATAAGCGGCCAGCCCTGATGCCTCTGGCTTAGGCAGAAGAGCCAAAGGCGTGACCAGGGCCCCCAGTCCCTTGGAGGAGGACTGTCCCCTGGCCATTTGGCAGCTCAGGAAACCAGGGCAGAGATGGAGGTTTGCGGTCAGGGGCACCCTGATGCCGGAGCCAGCTGACGGGGCCAGTGGGCTCGGGCTCCTGGAGTCCCGCGGTGTCCTTGGCTGGAGTCGGGGCAGCGAGGCTGGCTGGCTGTGGCTTCAAGGCACCTTGGCATTTACACCACTCACTCCACCCTGAAAGCTCTCCTCAGGCTGGGGCGCAGGGTGCCGTCCATTGGTCCATCAAGAGAGAGGGGCTGAGAGTGGCCCAGTGACTTGGGGTCACGCCATAGTGGGTGGGTCACATCCGAGTGGGACTTTCCTGAGCCAGGTTTTGGGGCTGCGCCTCCTCTGCGGGAGGGGCTGGGCTCCTCCCCACGGCTACCTCCCGACTCTGGGAAGGGCTCCGTCCCTCCTGGCTTGATGGGGGGGGGAACGACCTGGACTCTGGCCTCTTCTAGAACCCGCGGTGGACCTTACTCTCTGGGCAGGAAACTGTGTCCTGCTGGAGCCTGGGTGGAGGCCTGGGAAGTTGCTTGCTCATAGTGACTGGCCACGCGGTCCACGTGTCCCAGGCCAATTGGAGAGTCCAGGGGGCTCCTGGCCCTGCAGAGAGGTGCAGCCCTGGGGGTGGGGACAGGAGGGGCCCCCCAGCTGCCAGCCACAGGCCCTCATGTCTAGTGCTGGAGTGTCCCAGGGGAGTGCCCAATGGCCCTGTCCTGCCCAGGGCGGGTGGCTCCCCGTCGGGAGGCCAAGTGCCTGCGGTGGTGAAATCTGAGATGCTGGGACTTGGCACCAGTTGCCTTTTTTGCTGCCATCAAAGTTGGCCTTTGTGGCCACCAGTTTGCCTTCTCTGTGACCAGAACTGCCACCCGAGCAAGTGGCTAGAGAGACGTAAACAAATGCCGCGTCCAGGCCACTGTGAACCCAGGGCTGACTGACGTCCACCTTTCACAGAACCATCGTCCCCGACTTCTTTGTGGGGCAAGAGCCGTGGAGCCCCACTGGTGACTGGGCCACCTTCCCCGAGTGGCTGAAAACAAGAAATGCCAGGAAGATCGATAGGTGAGTCACCGCAGGCACGGCGCACGGGGGCAGCGGGAGGGGAGAGGGGCCTGGCTTCACCTCAGAGGACTCGAGTCCTCCCTCCTCCCTGGAGGACCTCTGTGACTGGCCCAGAGGGTCCGTCCTACAGCATAAAGGCAGAAGGTTGGATCTGCTGCAGTGTGTGAGCTGGAGGTAAAGCCGACAAGAACTCCGGCCACCCCAGCAGGTGCAGGGGCTTCCTTCTCAGAGGGAGGATTGTAAGGGGTGGGCAGAAGCTTTGTGTCCCATCAGGTGTTCATTTACATCCATCACAAACCCATCCTGAATGCTTAAGCAGTCATGAGAGTTAACTGTTTTATAGAACTGAGAAAAGGTAGGTATTGGCTTCATTCTCAGGTAGCTCTTGCCTCTGGGTGGCAAAGTGGCTGCAGCAGCTCTAACCTTCCATTGCTTCTCTCCCAACAACCCAACAAGCCTTATTTTGTCTGTTTGGTTATGACTGGATCAGAAGGTCTTCCTCCAAGTAATCACTGTGGCCAGGAGATTGCTCTGCTATGGAGATTGCTCACCTATTCTACTCCTGGAACCCAGGGCAGAGCCTTCTAATGTGTGTGGATGGAGGGGTACTTCATCCACAGCTGGATTCTTGAGCAGCAAAAAGCATCCAGTGTTCATCCAAGTAGAAGAATATTTATAGAAATGCCTTCCTTCTCATCTCCCCAAATGAAGGCATTCATTCCTGAAATGAAAGCATTCAAGAAAGTAAAAAACCTGAAGGGCCCAAACTGTTCTCGTGACATTTTATTTTGCAGAATCACTTCATCACTGCTCTGTCACGTTATGAAGATAACTGAATGCACACAGCAGGCTGTCTCGCCTTCGTTTAAATGTGCTCAAATATACCTTGTGTTTAAAAGAATGAGGTGACAGAGCTGCTTTGTTCTTTTGTTTTAAAAAAAATCATAAATATATAGCACTTCTTCCCATCAGATCCGATACAACTTTCTGGGCTGGCCTTGTACCCGGAGCTGCACTTTGTAAATGAACCATTGCCATCTTAAATAGCCCTGGTGGCTTTCCAAATTGAGCTCGGCTCTTTGGGCAGAGGAGGCAGGGGCGATGCAGAGCGGTGGGTCTTAGGAAAGGACGCCTGTGTCGGATCAGAGAGCCCGTGGGACCGGCTCAGTCAGACCAGCACCTCCCTGAGGGGAGATGGGGGGACACAGCAGCTTCTCTCTCTCCCGAGGCCGGGAAGGGCGCCGTGGGTCTGGGGGGCAGTGCACAGGCCTGGCTGGGCTGGGGGCGCCGGGAGGTGCAGCTGGAGGGGCTGAGGCTGGGGCTCGGGAGCGGGGACCCTGGGCCACTTCAGGTGACAACTTCAGGTGGCGTGGCCGAAGTGCCCGCTCACCCGCGCCGGCCCTGCCAGGCTCCCAGGGCAGCCGGGACCTGAGAGCTTCTCTCGTTCCAGGGAGTTCGACGCTGTGCTGCGGTACCTGAAGCAGCAGTGCCAGGCCCGGAGGGTGGGCGTCGTGGGCTTCTGCTGGGGCGGCATCGCCGTGCACCACGTGATGATGACGTACCCAGAACTCAGGGCGGGGGTGTCCGTCTACGGTGAGTCCACCTCGGTGTCGGGGACGGTGGGCGCACTCCTGTGCCCTCAGGGCGCTGGGTGAGCCCCGGCAGCCACAGGCCTCTCCCCGGGTGCAGCCCACGTGGTGCGAGGCCAGGCCCGTGAAGA